GGAGGTCGGGGCAGGAACATTATTGGTGGGTGGCAGGAAGCGATAGCAGTTGATAAGATACCATAAGGGGCCGTATAAAGGCGAAGTCAGCAAATTCATAACGCGCGTCACAGCAAGACTAGAGCGTTTGTCACAAGAAGTAAGATAGGAGGAACATTATTGGTGGGTGGCAGGAAGTGATAAGAGCTGATAAGGTACCACAAGGGCCTTAAAAAGAGTGAGTTACCTTATTCACAACACCGGCCACAGCTAAACGACGGGTGTGGGTTCAAGACAGTTATAGATAGGGGGCAGGATGGGAACATTATTGGTGGGTGGCAGAACGTGATAACAGCTGATAAGCTGATAAGCTGTTATCACGTCCTGCCACCCACCAACTGATAAACTTCAGCACCGGTGCCCAAGGAACAATGGTTAGAGGCTTCGTGAGTCAAGTATTCTATCCCTTAGCGATATGGTTACGACCGCTAAGCTCTCGAGTTTCGACGACAATTAAAAGGTGAGCATAATATCACATGATATCGATGTTTCATTGGCCCATCAAAGTTTTTTTCAAGCCTAAGCTGTCCTATTTCCAACTGCGAGGGTGGAGTGTTGCTTAGAGAATGTGATAAGCACCAGACATTAGCAAACGTTCATTAAATAGGAGAATCATAATGAAATAGGCCGTATTCTAAAAAATTGTAATCGGGCGAAGTGTTCGGGGTCAATACAGGAATCCTGTCAGCGCAGTACCATTACCATAGGTTCAACCATACGCGCAGTAGTGCGCGTCAGCCAAGCTGTTTCACGAATAACCCCATCCTATCCCAGGGTCTGGAATATCATGATACAGGTTTTGCAAATGTCCTCATGAATAAGTTTTCATTTGATATGGGAGACGAACCCCGCGTTGCCAGAGTGCGAAAATGAACGAATAACAGTCTACCTGGCAAAGGACTCGCCGATTACTCTACTTATGATTCCAATGGTATGTACAGATTGTGAAGGGAGAGGATACACTATCTGATTTCCATGCCTCCCCCTATTTAAAGTGCAGTTGGCATGATGAGTTTCGGCTGCTTTAGCCTAAAATGCTAGTAGGCGCTGAATGGGGGGAAATGGCGAACAGAATGGAGATGGAAACGCCGCCAAAACCGACGCAGAAAGAAGCTCCGTTCTCCCAAGGTTGTAACGATTGGAACACAAAAACCAAGTTTCCCGTACGCGATGCGGAAAATCCACCGCTCACCGGAAGGCTACTTGATGAGTTATAAACGATTTATCGTGCCAACTGCCTTTAAAGAAAGATGGTGTGGAACCCTCAAGGTTAGACACCGGAATATTGGCAATACCTGCTTACTTGATGGGAATAGTGGGATGGTGATCTACTTTCATAACCGACGTCGCTTCAAGAGGATTGCGATGCGGTATCCCCCTTCGAGCATAAATCCGCTGCTTGTTTCGGCCCCTCCCTTTCCAGACTCAGCTTCCGAAGCTACTTTGTCCGGAGAAGTCTGCGAAATGGCAGTCTTAGGGCACGTCCACAGCCACGGTAGTGTGCCCACTTTTCTTCCGCTCAACGTGCCGGAAAAGAAAGCTGTGAACTAGCCCTTTAGACCCGCTCCCGTGAGCTTTGACCGGAGAAAGAAGAACGTGGGCGAAGCTGATCATGGTCCTTGCCACCCATGTGGAGACCATAGCTCCTGGAGAAAGTAGTACGCTTCGCTTTTGCGCTGTGGACCACTCTCCCCGGACATGGCAACCATGATAAGATGAGGGTACAATTTGCCTTCGAGGCGTTTTGAAGATAATTACAGCAATTCTCCTCAGAGAGGAGAACGAAGTGGGACCGAAATCCTCAAGGGAATTAGAGTTTCACAGCGGGATGCAACCGCAGCACTGGGCTGGCAGTAAGACGGAAAATCATAAGCTTGGATAATCCTCTCTGGAAAAAATCATGGAGCGGAAAAGACGCAAAGTGCCGCGCTATCGCCAGGCGCGTTTGTCCATGCTGAGCAGCGATATGTAAAGTCGGGAGGCAATGCTCATTCCCATGAAGATCAGGGTTCGCTGCCTCTTCAACGTTTTCCAATCAAACAGCCGGGCAGGATAACTCGTCTCTCGCGTAACCTGCCACGCCCATCGCGGCACTGTAGTGGTGCTCATCATTGCAGACCGGTGGGGCGGTGCCTGTGACTCGGCTGTGACGCGACTGTCATCGCGTTGCGCGCGTACAGCCGAGTCACACGCACCGCCCCACCGGTCTCCACACTGATGAGAGGCTGTACACTCAAAATTCTTGTGATTCGCTGGCGTTCGCACACAACACGTTGGTCGTGACTGTGCTTTTGATGAAGACATTTTCATTTTGGACGACAAATAACAAAGCGCCACGTCTTCTGATCCCAACAAAGAGTAATATGACAGCTGTCTCAAGTTGAAATATCCCCCTAGCAACCCACGCCGTGTCAAGGTGCCACGCCTACTCCATCACAGGGATAAGGAGTATAATGGTTGCCGTGTCACATCTCTAGGAAATTATCTGAAAGTTTGGCTAGACAGGAAATGACTTATCCTTGTTGTGACAACTTAAATATGGGGAGTCATATCTAAAATTGCTAATTTATCGATCTCCAGTCAAAAGCATCACCATCACCTTTTTAATCCTGTATGATCCACATATTTCAACTCTAAGGTGCAGTCCATCCTCATTTCATGGGCGGGAGATCATCACGTATTGTCATCTTCTTACATTGTTGTCATCGCGAACCATGACTTAAGCTGTTCTAAAGTTCAGATGTAGTTTTCAGTTCTATGAGCTGCTCAATGGTTCCACGGCTCCTAGTAGTACTGTTGTCACTACAGTACTCAACAGCGTACATTCAAAACACTTATTGTCCGCAGTGTTCTACACTGAACTCTCAATATGGCAGTGGTTCCTACAGCGGGTACGGAAGTATCGAGTATGAAAACTAGCCATTTTTGGTTACCTAATCACCGTAACTGTAACAGGACTACTTTATTTCAGCTCTAATCCATTATCGTATTTCAACGGCCCGACAGATTTCGGAAACCAACTTGGAAAGGCTATCGCTACGAGGATAAATGAGGTGAGCCATTTCCTAACAGCCAGCGCAAGGCTAAACATGAACGAAATGAGGTTACAAAAGGGTATCACTCGCTATCCCCGTAAAAGATCCTGCAGTGAGAGGTTGAGTTCAGAATGTCGATTGGTGGCATCCTGCGCCGACTAACGGAGTGTTTCCTGAATTCTACTTGATCTTGGGTCATAATGCTAATGTTGCGCACGTTTTGTAACGCCTCTTTCGCCGCCCACGACTGAGCTACCATGAGGGCAGTTCAGTTCATCGTGCACCGGTGTTACGCGCAAATCAGCGGAGTACCACCTAAGTCCATAATTGGCTAAACGTGATGTAGCATTGCCATGCTAAAGTAATTGGGTCCTGGCACGAATGCCGCGCAAGAGCTCCTTCATTGTTCGCGCCACGACTCCGGCATGCTATACTATACCCGGCGAGAGCAGTTCTTTTTATGATGTGTGACCTGCCGCATTAGAGTGAGCCTACATCCATAGGCTCCATTAACCATCTACAGACTGACCAAATCAGCCCTTCGAATGAACAGATCACAACAATCAACGATCTCTCTGTTGAAATGTATGGGATGAAGTATAGTGGAGGGGTGAGTGAGGAGTCTCCCCCCCCAATCCTTCCACCCAGCCATCAAGCGTTTCATCCCTCCAAAGCTTCGCACCAAGATTTGTCTGGGAAGAAAGACCACTGACTTCTGATACTTCATACACTTCATAGATATGACCCCTCCTGTAGTTCTTTGTATAGGCCCTATAGCACAGCCACCGCTAGCTGGAAGTACAGGATATGGCGCATCAAAAACGACCGGTCGCTTCGGATGCATCACCCTTTTCATAATAAAACACCCTTTAAGTTGCAGTATTTTTTCAAAGATTAGCCACAGCAAACAGCATTTCATGTCATGTGAATGTGAAAAGAAAGACCTGAAAGTACGACAAGTATACAGGGGGGGCAAAAAGTCACTTCGATATCAGCAAAGTTTTCGCTGCCCAGACAGAGGACGTGGATACGAGTACCAGGGCGGAAGATACCCAAGATGTTCCTCGATAAGCAGGAGCTGGCTCTCGCCCATCACCTTCATGTACACCAAAATATGAAGTCATCTCCAGTCGCAGCCTGACTGGAGAAGACCTTTGGAATTCACGTCACCTCCAAACAGCTGCGAAACTTCTAGTATGGAGTCACCCATGGATAGCTACCTGGAGACCAGTACTCTCGATCTGGATGACCTCCAACATCGAGCAGCTCCGACAACGTCGCACGGTCTAGGACATCATCTTCACCGCAGTCGCCAAGGCGCGGTTGATGGTATGGACCGGACGTACCTGGAATGGAAAGACCGATATTTTCTTCGTGGACCCCGGACTAAAGGTGAGCGCTGGCGGTTACATTGAGCAACTCGTGAAGAATATCCTCCTCACATGTCGTCCGCCCTACCTTCTTGGAATTGTACTGCTACAGGATTGGGCGACACCACGTGGATTCGAAGGGCATTGGAAAAACACTCGCCCACTTGGAATGGAAGGACGTTGAGTACCTGAAGAAGATGGAATATCTAAGTAGGTCACCTGACCTAAACCCCTCAATTACCCGGTTCGGACGGAGCTCAACAGGCGTGGCAAAATTAATAAATTATGGCTCGCGTGCCAGAATCTCTCGATGGCGCTCGTCCAGAAGGCTGTGGCGGAGTGTCATGATAGTATTTAATATGCTCTTTAATATGGTGGTAGAAATGTCCGATCAGAATTTATAAAGTGTAACTTATAGCGCCTCGAAAGTCAAGGAAAAGTGACTTTTTTTTTGGCCCCCTGTATTATATCAAGAAAACTAGCCAGACACACCTACTGTTAGTAGTCTGTACATTCGTCGCAGAGAAAGTCGTACATATGCTTCTCTATTCGAGAAATGAATATAGTATTTGCAAGCAGATTCAGTGGAGTAATCACTGCGCCGGATTATTTTAGCAATCTTGGTGAAAGAGGTTGTTTATAGTCCCATGTGGCATGCTCGCCATTTGAAAAAAATTGGCCCAGTCCGGCTTGGTGAAGCACTAAATGGTACTCAACGAACTTAGTACGAACCACTCTGTGGAAACCTGTTCATTCGTGAAATCGATATCGCACACTCGTACCATTTCGCAGTTTCACAAGAGTTGACAGTTTTCACCTGAATGACCTGTAATTTCCTGCGCTAGTTAATGTTGTCTAGCGAAAGGCAATATGCACCCCCCCCTCAGGGCAAACAGCGCCAAAAAACTGATATTTTTAGTGAGTGCCACCAATCATCCTCACACATGAGGTTCACAGGGGAGCTGTTTGCCCACACTTTTACGCCTAAAGCTGAGTCGATGTACTGGGGCGTTTGACTGACCGGGATGGGAGGGACCGAACACGTATTGACATCTCCTGCACAGTGCAGTCTTCTGCATATTGAACGCGATGTGACCTATACAGTGACTCGAGGGGGCCAGCCAATGTTCCTATTCTCCCAGACGAATCTGCTACCAATTCACCGTGCCCGGATGATAGGAGGCTTGTTTGGTCTGGGCGGTAGTCGACCCGGGATGTGAACCCAGGACCGCGCGAGTGGTCCCGTCCAGGTAAGCGCGCTACTTGTCATTACACCACCTCCGCCTCACATAGCAAGCACCGTAAAATTGGAACAGGTACAAGGTGAAGAGTAGGAAGGGAAGACTCTCCTGAATGAGTGTGAAATTTTCTTTTGAAGCGTACCCGGATTCACTAAACTAATAGAAGCTTTTTCAGGCCTACATACCAGACTCTTCAAACCGGATGACGTTCGGCTCCTATCCTACGTCCAGTTTCACTAACCAAGGTCTTGGCGGACAGAACTACGTCATTCAACCGGATTTGTATCAACAAGCGCTGTCCAGTTTCGGCTCTCAAGGTTTCCAAGGACTCGGTAGTTACCCGACGTCATTTAACAGTTACCCTGGCTATGGGTTTGGCACGGGGCAGCAAACTATGTTGCCAAGCAATGGTGGCTACACATTCGGAAACTTCAACAATCTCGGCGGTACCACCTATGGCACGAATAGTTACGGAAATTACGGCACGAATACCTACGGTATTCCCGATCCTATTACAACCGGTGGTTCTACTGGAGGCAGTTGTCCGTACTGTTTTGGCAACAAGGGTGGTTTCAAATCGAAAAAGGCCAAACGAGCTTCAACAACGAAGAAGAATTAAGTCCCACTTCTATTATACGTGTTCATAAAAAGTCCTTCAAATGCTAACTTATTGATGTTTGTAAGCAATAAAGATCGTGTAATAATTTTTTGTGCTATAAAAATTAACTACTTGCATTTGTGACAAGTTCAGCAACTGAAAATGTTTTGAAATGTTGCTCAGCGCAGAAGGCACTGTGGTGACAAACAGCATTGAAGGCAGAGCCCACGATCACTTTTAATCAGCTAAACACTTCATTTGAAGAGGCAGTGTGAACTGCAGCGAACAACCCCGTGTAGGTTTCATGTCAGAAGGTTGTGATGTAGTGGCGTTATGGAGCAAGATGGCACAACTGACCCCGCGCACAGGATAGATGGATGTCTTATCTGCTGTCTTGCTCGTTTGCATGCTCTCTCGAAGCTTTCTCTGGGCTCTCGCCCAATAGCCACGTCGATACGTTATCTCTCGCTAGCACAAGTAGTCCCATTTGGAGCGTTCTCTACAGTTTCCTCTCCTTTTTTTGTTGACGGACAAGTCAACTAACACTTCAGTTATCACAAGAATGCTGAGTTGTGGGCAAAAGTCGGACCACGGGCGGGACTCGAACCCGCATCTTCTGCTTACCGGGCAGTTGCGTTACCACTTACGCTACCGGGGCCACTTTTGACCTCTCAGCTCAATGGCTATTTGTGCCATTGCCTTCGAGCACTCACACGTTCAACGTGATGAGCCGGTTAGCCGATATCGGCAGTGAACCGCAAGGCTGAAGGCTTTTTACAAGTTTTAAGCTGTTATTGTTTTGATAACTGCTGTTTAACGCCGCAGTGCGCGATACGAAAGTTATCACAAGAATGCTAAGTAACGCAACTGCCCGGTAAGCAGAAGATGCGGGTTCGAGTCCCGCCCGTGGTCCGACTTTTGCCCACAACTCAGCATTCTTGTGATAACTTTCGTATCGCGCACTGCGGCGTTAAACAGCAGTTATCAAACAATAACAGCTTAAAACTTGTAAAAAGCCTTCAGCCTTGCGGTTCACTGCCGATATCGGCTAACCGGCTCATCACGTTGAACGTGTGAGTGCTCGAAGGCAATGGCACAAATAGCCATTGAGCTGAGAGGTCAAAAGTGGCCCCGGTAGCGTAAGTGGTAACGCAACTGCCCGGTAAGCAGAAGATGCGGGTTCGAGTCCCGCCCGTGGTCCGACTTTTGCCCACAACTCAGCATTCTTGTGATAACTTTCGTATCGCGCACTGCGGCGTAAAACAGCAGTTATCAACAAACAGTCCAAAACAATTCAAACTGTTTTTTTCTTTAAATTCATTAAAATGGTTTATCAAGCAACTTTTCGTGAACTTTAGAGAATTCTGCTTCTAAGAACAAACTTCACGCCCATCCCCGAGGACGATTTTTTCCATGTGTGAGGCGAGTAAGGCGAGTATGGAATGTGCTGAGTGAGGTCAGCCCATACCCATAGAATAGCCCACAAAATCAATCCGAAGTAACAACAGACAGTCACTCCCTTGAATCCATCTGCATACTTGAGCTACCATGCGCTTTAGCCTTCACCTGGACAACTTTCCGAATC